ATCTGTGGAAAGAGGGATAGAGGAAAACAACAAAAGAAGATGCTTGATAGTCATGTTGCATGGCATGGAGGTATGTCGGCACACGAACTGATACATGCTGCAGGAGATCGCAGATTGTGGAGAGGTATGATCGCCCACGCTAGTCGGCAAGGCACCTGATGATGATGATGATGAAATCAAGATACTTCCAGTCATGAAAGTTTCATAAATGCTGATGTATCAGTATATTTGTGGTTACCTGCTTTTGTAAAGCTTAGTTAAATGCCACTGGCTCTATGTGTGACTGCATTGCGTTAGGGAGACTCAGATATTGATATATTAACTACAAATAGAATGTATGTAGGTTAGCTGCACACATCACATTTGCATCATCAAGTGGTGCAAATGGTATCTCAAATATTCATTTTATTTTTCTACAAAAACAGTACATCACCTGATATCTGGCAGCTGCATCGTAGGCTAAAAATGGATCCTGGTAAAACCTGAAACAAAGGTCAAAGCATTAGTGTATCAATCCAGAAGAATAACTTGTATTATCTTATAAAATATCACTGCATGTATTTACCACAATAAGTGTTGTGCAAATGCAGCAAACTGCAGGTTATCATTTTTTTTTATTTTGCCATAGAGGTCCCTTAGCAGCTTTAAAAAAAAACAGTACTGAGCATAATCCCTGGTCTGTCAAGATTTAAAAAAAAAAAAGTATAAATAAACAAGATGCCGAAGAAACCCTCAATGACTGTTTCACACAAATGCAGGAAGTCTTATCTGAGTGGCACAGTTAGTATGCCCAGAAATATCAAGATAGGCTGGCTCAAAGACAGTCATCAAAGTAAAGGAGGTGGTTACAGATGACAAAGGCGTTTTAACTTTTGCACCAGAGCTTGCATGTATAGGAGGAAACGATCAAGCTAAAGGACAGGTTAAAATCATCCAAACCGACTATTTTTCTTTTTAATTGTGAAAAAGTGTATTCATTTCTGAACATAATAATGCACGTCTTGTTGCAAATTTCAACCTAAATCTTTAATTTTTTACAATGGCATAGTAACTGTTTATTTACTAAATTATACAAATAAATAGGAAAAATATTCAAACTGTCGTAACTCATTTATCAACCCTTTTAAATAATTATTTCACCTATTTTTTTAGAAATTGTATAAAACTGGGATAGCCTAATCTATGTAATCTGTGCTGGAAGACATAGGCTAGAAATAGCTGTGAATGATACTGTTATTACATATAATGAAAGTGAACTAGTCAGGGCTAAGATGTGGCACAGTGTTTCCACATTTTGTAGATTTAACCAGAAACATGTAAGAGCAGCTGAAAAAGGTAATAAAATGGATAAAAAGAGCAAGGTAAAGTATTCAGACAGCTGAGAAATATCATGAGGATGACTTATGTGCAGCAGGGATTCATTAGGTAAAGGATTATTGTGAAAACTAGCTTAGTCGGATACTTGTTAGTGATTTTCTCAAAATCACCTTTGTTGACTTTTTTCACCACATTGCATACAATATATCAAAAAGTTACTAACATACTGTCTTCATACTTGGCACATACATAGGAAATGATCAGTGAATCTGACTGAACTAACATAAATACAACAGCCTAAATAATTGTTTGCATTTTTGTCATATATGGTAATCCTTACACCTAATTTTTTTGGAAGAGTATTGTACCATACAAAAGAACATAACTTTTAATCCGTTGCTATAAGTGAATAGTAATTAGCACAATCAGTTGGAAATATAATGCTTAATATATGTGCAAATGTTCATTAAGTCATCTTTATTAGCTTTTTTGAAATACATTAGCAAAATGCTGAGTACAAATTTTACTATTTTATAAAATATGACATTTTCTATCAATATCCGTGAAAACATGTTCATTTTAGGCCCCAAAACTAATTTTCCTCTAATCTTTAACTAGTATGTACCTACAGAAAGCATTGTCCTAAAAGGCTTAACGAAAGTGGGTGACCAATGAACCATGGTCACTCTTATTTATGTCACCTGATGCCATTTTTATAAATTCTGTTCATGAACAGTGATTTCTAAAATTGTGTGTGTGCAGCAAAAAAAAAAAAAAAATTGTAAACTGGCAACAAATATGGTGAAAACAGTAGCAAATGACTGCTATTAAGTCATGCAAGAAAGTATATGAAGTACACACAAACTTACGTGGCATACGGTAAAGCAGCAGATGGAGCAGTTAATGGTGTGGCATGACGAAGTCCTGCCGCCGCTGCTGCTGTATAAACACCACCTAGAGCCCGTGCTGCAACTGCTGCAGGTGTCCTTCCCCTAGTAAGAGCCACACCTCGTAATGCTGCTGCGGTTGCTGTGTCTTTATTGAGGTAAATTTATACAAAATTTTAAACAAATACAAACAAGCCAATTAAATGGCGTAGACATTGACATATATAGATTTAGGAAAATGGCATAAATACACTAAAACCTAGACTTTTAAAAAAAAAGAAATACTTAGTGCTAATGGGATCACACATGTCAAAATATCTGCAATAAGAAGCAAGAATGAACTATTTACCGTTGAGTTAAACAAATAACCGTTCATTCTACCCACAGGTGGGAGTGTACATTCCAGATACTGCAGGCCGGCAGACTCCTCAGGTTATTCCATCTACACCTACAGGGGGGTCCTGTTGATTAATTCCACCAGCATCCAGCAACAAAATATTATTCACAACGAGCCAGCTGCTAATTCTGAATATCCGTGCAAATAGAATTATGCAGATCATACCGCAGACAATGCATTCAAATGTTGTCATAAGTAGGGAGGAAAGACTTCAGTCTTTGGGTATGAGTTAATCATTCAATTTTCTGTGAAAACATTGCCAAACATGCTTAGGATTTTAAAAAACATGTCAATGCTTCCACCGAATCTGGGTTAATGTGATGCTTTTTCAATCAAATATTCTGAAAATCGAAATGTGTAAGCAATATGCAGGCTACCTAATCATTTAAACAAAATGCAGAACAATTTCGTAAAAGAAATCAGTAGTAAAACGTACAGCTACAGCCAATGGATGTGAAATACATGTGTAAAAACACTCAAATTTGCTTGTGTGAAATATAATCAAGGCTTGTGATGAGAACATGCCAGAATGTTCTGTGTGTCATGGGAAACTGCACTGTGCAACAATAAAAAGCCTCATTTCATCATGTAAAAATCTGCTCTATCCAAAAGCTAACCAGAGGAAAGAGTTCCCAAACATAAGTGATTTTACTGCAAGTAAAATGTAGGATGAGACACGCAGCACTGGAGATGACAGGAAAGCGGACTCACTCAAGGTTGTACGTGTAGGCTGTAGTCCATATAAAAGTAAGTAAAAAGTGAAGAACCTTTTTTTCATGCCTGATGTAAAATAATTATATTTTTTTTAAAATAATATTTATTATTCATACTTTTTTTTTACGCCAGCAGTGCTGACATATGATACTACACTCATAATTTTATAGACTAACTGGCACTCGGTGGGAGATGTGGTAGTCATGACGCCAACCATCATTACCTTCCAGGACCATTACCTGGTACTAATTTTATTCGTTTGACCTGGAAGTTGATGACCAAAAAATCTTTTCCGATGCAGAACTGAATTTAGGATCTTCAAGCAAGAAGACATACACCTAACCAACAGATGTATTTACTCCAGGTGAAATTTCTGTTGCTCATCAACTTCTGGTCATGTTTAAGAACTGGTGATTTTCGTGAACATTCATTTTACAGATGTGACCGATTTGTATGGAGACTGTCGGTCCCTCACCTCTTGGACAAGGATATGAATATAAAAACTAAATTAGCAATTATGGGGGATGCTTAACTCGTGACCCCAACGTCTTTTCAAATAATGTCACATTTTTCCAATAAGCCTCAGTGATAAAGATCATGATATGAGTCACCTGATACAGGTTTTTTTAAGCCCCAGGAATGTATTCTATTTATTGCTTCATTTTGCGTTTGTTTTTTTATTATCCTCTCCTCTCATACCCTTTGCATAGTTGGGAGAGGGTCCCCATAAATTCCCATGAGTTCATGACTTTATTAGCATCCATGGAGCAAAGGGGTTAAATAACATTAGTATGTTTTTATCCTCTGGGGTTTCTGTTGTTGATAGCTAAAAAGGAATGGGTTCATAGGTTCACTTCATGGACTCATTCAATTTAACAGGTGCAATTCTGACAAAAAAACCTGTGGATCATGACTAAAAGTAAAGGGCAATTTTCCATGCCTTTAGACATATAGGCTCGACCTATATTTTTCAGACCAATCTGCAGTTGGTGGCTGATGTCGTTAACATCATCCTGGCTGCCTTTACTTCCCAGAACTGTACCTTGTACCCATTTAAATCTGGGTTGACCTGGGATCGTAACTAGAGCTATATTATATAATTCATGCTCTGTATGATGCCCTCGACAGCCAGCTTTTCATTCTGCTGAGACACTTGATCCATACAAGATAAAACCCCTGTGCAATGAAGTCAGTCCTTTTTACTTTAAATCTGTTTACCACATTAATAACATTGCCACCTATTCTTTTTTATGAATGTTATCAGTCCTGGCATAATATTTAATATAAGATTATCTCTACAGTAATTTCTTCAAAACCTTTAGTATACTATTACTCGCATTAATGAACCTTCTAGAAAGTATGCCTAAGTTACAAATAGGAGGAAATTCAAGCTAATGCTGATCTTAGACTAAACAAATCAGATTAAAGACTAAGATGGCTAGCCTGGCCATTAAATGCCTGCAGAAGCTGGGTGTGTCGGCTGAAAGGCACAAATACTACAGCCATGTTGTAAACGGGCACACCACATCAATATCTTTAGATAAACGCAGATAAAGAAGAAAGAGAGAAAGTTTAAAGAAACTAACAGTGGAGAATAAAGAGGATAGAAGTAAAGAAGAATCAATAGAAAAAAGCAGGGATGTTTTGTACATAAAATCTAAGTGGACAGTTGGCTGACATCTTACCAGTAGCTAGTGTGGGGACAGTCACCTTTTTGGTCATGACTCGTGCAGTTGCATTGTTAACCTAGCACAGAATCATGGTTGATCAAAAAACACAAATGCCAGTCACAATGCATGTTACCATCAAATCTGTGCTTGAGAGACTCCTTCAGTTACTTAACCACAAATGTGATCAAAGTAAATGGTATTTAAACTGAAATCATTTTTTTTTTAAATAATCAAAATGCAATCAAGTTTTGAAAAAATTGTTCAAAAAACAGAACTGTCAACTTCTTGCCTTAAAAAAAGGTGGTCAGGGCAGGGTAAAAAATTCTAGTCTTAGAGGTAAGTTTGAAACATGATCTTGTCTGAATTACACTGAAATGAAACATAATGAAATGGCTTGGCCATCTAGTAAGAATGAGATCAAACTATATAAGACCTTCTGTGGCAGAAAATCTGGGCAGAAGGTAAGGCAAATACCAAAGAAGAGAAGAAGAGATGTAGATGATGTAGCCAAATACTGCTTTTAAAAAAAAAAAAAAAAGCCAATGTACCATTCAAGTACTGAAAAGGAGCAATATCGATACAGAAAATCATGACACTGAATTACAACCTGGCAAAAGTGTGGTGACAAAGGAAGAAGGGAATCTCTCGACTCAGTTTTTTTTTTTTTTTTTGGGGTTCTCCACCTCTGTTCTATTGTATGTTTCACATTTATTGTTTTTGTTTGACTTCCTCTTGCTTTGAGTCTCTACAAGCACAGTTTTGAGGTGTCATTATTACTGATTCACAATATGCTGGCAAACATAAAACCCAGCAAAACTGTCATAACTAGCCATAAAACTCAATTTTCAAAATTACTTTATTTTATTAAATATAAATAAAGGATTGTCATAACATGTAACATTAACAATTCTTGTTTTAATGCTATAAATGATAACTACTAACAAATTACATGTATTGTAAAACTACACTTTCTGTCGTAAATATAATTTTCATATTCATTGCACATTTACTGCTAATCAGTTAAATAATATTTTACCACTTATTTTTCTCAACAAGCTCGTGGTTTCAGAAATTTTAATCTACTGGCTTTTCCTCAAAATGAAAAATAAGCAATAGTTAATACTGGTGTACTTCGAGGAGCAAATGAAAGAAAAATATGGAAGATACTTTTGTCAAAAACAGCTCAGTTAAAAGTATTTATAATTTAACCACAAGGAAGTTGGCTTAAAGATGTCCTATGACATTGTGAGAGTAAATGTTGAGTTTAAGCTACATAAAGTAGGAGAATTACTTTAATTTCATCTAGTGCTGCTTGTGTCATCAAGTACTTGGGCAGCCTGAAAACAAAACCTAGAAGATGTATTGAAGAAATTAACTTTTTGACTAGCTCAAGGAAAAGAAACCACATTTCACAGGGTGAAGCCTATTCAATGCAATATTACTCCACTTTGTCAATCAAGGTAAAAAAAAAAAAGAATTTTAAAGAGTTAAACAAAGCCAATCCTGATGTACAGATGTCAATCATCAACAGTCAGCAGATTAATGAGAAATTATGCGGAAGCTGTGAAAAACCACTTTTTTTTTAAATAACAAATAAAAAGTTGAATGAAGATGCTTTGAAAGAAATTAACTCACAGACCTCGTTACAGGCAACAGAAGAACAGGAAGCTTATTTTTTGGGGACATCATAAAAATGGCAACATTGAAGTAGGCTATGACAGCAATAAATGTGGAGGCTAAAAGAGGCAGGGAGAGACCAGGAGGTAGGATATTGGACAGTTTGGCATAGAAAAACATCCGAATCAGAAATGACTGGCAGCACAAGAGACAGAAGGCTGCTGGCAGACGTAATGACCAACGTATCACACAGCATCAACTACAAAAGAAGTGTTGTCAGTGTCTGTGTGTGGCCAATACTGTATTATGTAGTAAAACTTACTTTGGTGTATTCATGAAGAACAACCTCATAAGCATGTTTTATTATCTTCAGAAGCTACTTTGCTACTTTTTTCACTCTTTATGGTTTCACAGGACGAAATGTATCTTTGAAACCATGTAATTTAACTCTTTATAAAACACCTAACTCTAGAGTCATGAATGTGTAACAAAATGACCCTGCTATCAACAAGGAAGATAAAGACCATCTGTTTCAAGAAGGAGGAGGAGGACAACAGCAACAATAATAAAAAAAGATTTGGGAAAAACTAACATTTATGAACTGAACACATATCTCTGCAGACAAATGTCAGAAACTCTTCCATTACAAGCAATGAGTCACAGACGAAGGGCGGAAATATTCTAAGGTCAGATCATGTGACAGACTGAACAATACTCAGCAGTGTTACAGCTTTGTATGATGTTGATCACACAAGTAAATCAAGAGCCCAAAGAAATATAAGAGTTGAAAAGCAGGACACTGTTACATAAAATATAATATATTAAGATATAAACACAGAATACTGTTAAAATAACACATTAAGATATAAAAACAGTATATCATTATAATATAAACAGACTGATAAAAAATATCGACCATAGAAATGTTAAAGGACTTAAACTAAAAAAAAGAGAAGAAAAATGTTTGGAGACAAAATCAGAGAAATTCTGCAGCAGTACAAAATTTCTTTATGGTCGAAGCAGCCAGAAAAGCAGGAACCAAAGCCTGCTATTTTGCTCGACACCAGATACGATAAAAGGAGAAAGTGGCTGAGAAGTCAAAAAAAGAAAATCAGGACTGTCTAGGCTGGGAATTATGAAGCAGAAAAAAAGAATTACTGTCAGTAAGTACTTACTACTTGCAGCATAAACAGAAAATGGCAGATAACAGACAAAAACTGCATACACAAAAGAGGTGAATGAGATTAGACCATGAGTAAGACCAAGAAGTAAAGAGATAATATAAAGGGAGACCTACAAACACATGGGGGTCACTAACTGGAAAGAGAACCCAATCACAGACGCGAATGGAAATGGGTGGTATCTGCAGTAACGTACCTCAGGGGTTCAGACTGCTGAAGTAGAAAGCGTAGGAGGAGACCATTTAAAAAAAATAATTTTTTTTTTTACCTGCTTCCATCTATTTGACTAATTTGTAAACAATTTTTGCCTATCTTAATGTACTGTTAGCTGACCTAAAAACGTGTTGCTATCAGTGTATTTTGTAGATACATAAACAATGCAACCTCATAAAACCTCACAAGTTTATTACTCATGTAAACCAATATTAGGAACATTATGTGATTCTATACAAGCTTGTTGAGATTGTATTAATTATTAATACTAAGGCAAATAAAGTATCACTTTTAACTACCATATGAAATATGAACAAGTAAATGGCAAACTTCTGAGGCCTAAAATAATATAGTTCTGTTTAAAAACTCATAAACTACAGCATAAAGAGATGCCATATACAATGGAGAAATATGGTAAATATGTCGGCTGACATAAGAATTTTGGGGAGCATTAGTAAAGGCAATTTCACACTGGAAAAAAAAGTAAACAGTACATGAAGGCCCATAATTTGTTCAAGAAATTGGACTTGTTCCAAATTTTCTTCCTTTAATTAGGCAGTTTTTATTTTATTTTTCATTTTATTATTTATCTTTCAAGTGTGCTGCAAAATAGCTGAGATGAGTTGAGCTGAGTCAAGAATTGACATCACAGCACTTGGTTCATTTCCTTGCACCTCCGTCCTCATCTTTAGTGGCCAGCGAGTTCCAATACTAATGGTATTGGTTGAAATCTAGTTATATATTCATCTCGCCTTTCCTCTGAGTGCAGTAAGCTGATCAGACTCTCTAGTTACACCCAGGTGTATTATTCTCTCTAGCCATAATAATCTTGTTCTCTTCTGACTTTGTTACATGTCATGTATTAATTCCCCATTCAGTGGTGCAGATCCAGCCGACCTGTCTGCCTGTTCATTCCCCATGACGCCAACATGGCCTGGAGTAATGATCCAAAGTATGCTCTTCTGTGCTCTTTTCTTACTGTTCATTTTACATTTATAAATTATCTTCATCGCACATCAGACATGCTCCAATCTCGTCCTGAATGTCTCTAAGTGTTTTTAGGCTAACAAACCCCATTCTGGCTGAAGTAATGACGGGTGGCTCCTGCATGGTTTTCCTGTCTTGCAGTTCCAACAGGCATGCCCATGGTATGCAGTCTATTCAGTTTTAAAAAAATTTCCGTTCTCATGAGCCTGAACACCTCACAGCGTTTAGTGTCTCATATGGCATTGATGATGTCTCTCCTGTCCATAGAGGGCCCATTCCTGATAGTTGCAGTACCAACCAGGGTATCTGTTCTCTTACTGCCTTTCACAGCAGCGTTCCCCGGGATAAAAATTAAGATGATTTTGTCAAACGCTGCATCAGATGGAGCCACTGTTTTCGTTTATGCCCCGCCTTGATCTTTTGTAGCATGCTCACTGAGTTGCTGAGAAAGCATGCATTGGTGAACTCCTGAGTTTTCAGCCATTCTAGCTCCTTTGTCACAGCCATTGTCATGCTGCTGGTGGTAGAAGCAAAGGCTCACTGTCTTCTTTAATGACTTTTCCTTTAGTTCTTGCTGTGAAAGCCCATGCACTTCGCTTCTCACGAATCACAGAACCACCTGTGTATATATAACAGCATCTTCCGGTGATGTGTGCTCCTCCACCAATGCTTTAACTTCTCCATCAACTATTGGTGGTGTCAAATCATGGCACTGTTTTCTTAATTCACTCTAATTGTAAGTCTTGATTTCTCTAAGACCGTTCTTAGATACATTTGCACATCCTTTCTGGTAATCTGGTAATCCTAGTTTCAGCATCATAGCAAACGGGTCACCCCATTGTTGCTCCGCTCCTGTGCCAACGAAAAACACTCGTAGCTCACAGTGTCACACCATGCACTCAACTCAGAAGCTGGGTAACCATATCCTTCCAGTCTACAAATGGAGCAAAAATGCAACGGCCACCGCCTGGCAGAACTGCCACGGCTAAAAAAAAAAAAAAAAAAAAAAAAGAGTGGCCGTGCCTAGCGTCCACTGTGACTTGAAGCATTATGTGAGGGGTTAACAAATGGTCACCCCAGCAGTACCCTCACTATTAGCTGGGAAAGGGACTTAGGACATTACATCCACCAGCAGGCGTCGCCCCTACAACGACCTGACTGCCTTCGTTAACGACTGTTCACCCAACAGCCATGCAGTTCTTTGGCACGAAGGAGACACATCCTTTGCAGTCTTCACCTTGCTCTGGGCTCATTATATTTTTTCAAGGTAGCTGTATGTGAAATTTAGTACTAGGGAATTATCTTCTAATAGCCTCATCTGTTGCTCTTTAATGAACTATATGACTGGCTTCGGTCCAAGTCTCCTTTATTTTCTATCATTTTGTACATCTTCTTGTTATTTTTTGTTTTCTAAGTCACATTCTCATCTCCCTTATAACTGTTTGCACTTATTAATTTTGTAGGGAATTCTCTTCTAATAGCCTCATCTGTTGTTCTTTAATGAACTCTTTGAGACTTTGGTCCAAGACTCCTTTATTCTCTTTTAAACTGAACATCTTCTTGTTATTTTTTGTTTTCTAAGTCACATTCTCATCTCCCTTAAAATTTATCCACTTATTAATTTTGTTTAAATTATATTTTTCATTTTACTTCTACTTGTTAGTCTAGCAGCTTTCCTAGGATATTTTCATCTCTGTTACAATTTTACCTTTTCTTGTTCTCCAGCAGCTTTCCTAAGCAATTCTCAACCGTTATAAATTTGTGCTCTTTAAATTGTTTAAATATTTTTTATTTGATTTCTTCTTGTTACTCCAGATGCTTTCCTAAGACACTTTTACCTTTTATAATTTTTCACTCATTTTAAAATGTTTACAAATATTTTTCCTATTATCTTTTCTTGTTAATCCAGTAGATTTCCGAAGACATTCCCACCTCTGTTATAACTTGCCACTCATTAACTATTATCAAATATACCACAAAATTATGGAAAAGACATATTCATGAAAATAGTGCAAAACACAAATGGGAAACTAGTGGAATATGTGGGTCAATGTAACAACATTAACTTTTCCGTCACCAACAATATGCTAATTATGTTAACGCAGGGGGGTGTAACAGGCATTTCTTTATACTGCAAAAGTAATCATATACTTAGCATTGACTTCAGCTGTGCTAGCACAAAATGTAACGAAACATGCAGGCACCTCAATCTTTCGTCCCTCAACCACAGTGCCGTTCAATTTCTCACGTGCTCTGTCGGCATCACTGCTATTTGCGAAAGTTACGAAACCGAATCCCTGCATGCATATGGAAAACAAGGAGCATGCATTAATCGTGCAAAAAACACATTAACATGATCATTAATTTTAACAGATTTAACAAAGAAACAAAATAGAACATGATCAGCCGTATTACATTTTATCAAAAGTATTACATTCTGTTTAAAAAAAAAACTGGTTAAAATGTTTTTTTTTTCTCTGCAACATCGTTGTGTTCAATACCCAACATTTATAAATAGATAAGCAATTTTCCTGAAATGACAAATTATTATAAATTAAAAAGAACATCATTATGAAGTGTGTGGGGGTAAGTATTTGCGTGTGTGTAATCTACAAACATGCACACACTTCTAGTAGATTTTCTATTAATTATTATTAGCAATACAAAGAAACATCAATTACTTTGTTTGAAAACTGGGATACTCAATGAAACAAACATAAGGGAATATGATACAACATGCTGACTGAACTAAGCAACATGCAGCCATGCCTCTCGGCACATTGTTAACAGACTAATGTTACTCAGAAGGAACAATAAAGAGCCATTCACCAATTCCGGACAGATACGCATATTTAGTGAGATGAGGCTGAATTAGTACAGTGAGTGACTAGGTTTATTCAAGAGTTGTCCTACCACACATCTAATCGTAAGGTTCTGATCAATGCTATCAGTGTCTTGGAGGACGAGGGAAATGATGACCTAATACTGAACAGAACAAAAATTAGTTAGCACAAATGCAGGATATGATCACGAGCAAAAGTATGGCAAACCACACACACAAACACATCATCTAAACAGGGCAATCCAACTAAGTTGACCCAAGGGGTCAAAATGGGGGTCGATACAGGCTAAAGTGTACAAAGGTATTATTGGCCACTTGCTAAGCCTCAACAGGCTGGATCTGGTCTGCCAGTTTAACAACTCTTGCTTTAAACAAAAGTCCAAGAATACCTGTTTAATAAGCTAGACACTCATCGGTGTTACAAAGAGTCTGGTATATTATATACAACACTTTGTGTGGGTGTGGGTGTGTGCACGCACAGTCTAACTGGTGCCATCTTCCTTTAGAGTTAATAAAGAAGACATAGAGAGGGATCCTGCTGCATGAGCAACACTTGGTCTCTACAATAATGTCTAGGCTTTGTGCTGTCAATAGGAGAAACCTCATCCCTGGCCTAATTGTTCCCATGGGCTATAACCTCCATGCCTACCTATAGCACAATGGAAAAGTATTGTCTGCAGAGAAATAAAGGTGCCAAAAAGGAAATCTCATAGCAAATAGTACCAGTGGGAAGTAAAGTGTTAGGTCCTCGCACATTCTGGGCCAAAGTGGGAATGTGAACAAAAGGCACTCACTATTGGTATCGTGGTTAGACTTGCATGCCAGCCTGAAGGTCTTGTGACTGAATCCACAGTGAGAAAGATTTTAATAAAATTACCTTGGTTTACAGGTCAACTCAAGATAAGCTGGGTCTCAGAAAATACTCTGGCATGATGTAGACATCATTCACTAAGGGTGGACTGGTCTGTAAAACTAAAGAACTAATGGTTTGTTGTGCCTGATGCATCAATGGTGTGTTGTGCCTGATGCATCAATGGTGTGTTGTACCTGATGTATCAATGGTGTGTTATGCCTGATGTATCAATGGTGTGTTGTGCCTGATGCATCAATGGTGTGTTATGCCTGATGTATCAATGGTGTGTTATGCCTGATGTATCAATGGTGTGTTGTGCCTGATGTATCAATGGTGTGTTGTGCCTGATGCATCAATGGTGTGTTGTGCCTGATGCATCAATGGTGTGTTGTGCCTGATGCATCAATGGTGTGTTGTGCCTGATGCATCAATGGTGTGTTGTACCTGATGCATCAATGGTGTGTTATGCCTGATGCATCAATGGTGTGTTGTACCTGATGCATCAATGGTGTGTTGTACCTGATGCATCAATGGTGTGTTATGCCTGATGCATCAATGGTGTGTTATGCCTGATGTATCAATGGTGTGTTGTGCCTGATGCATCAATGGTGTGTTGTGCCTGATGTATCAATGGTGTGTTGTGCCTGATGCATCAATGGTGTGTTGTGCCTCTTATATCAACTGTGTATTGTGCCTGATGCATCAATGGTGTGATAAAGTATATGTACTTTACTTTTTATTTTTTATTTTTTAAATACTTTAATGTAACTTAAACTGAGAATCTTCAGATAAATGAAAACGAGTACGTTCTAGATCTGATTGAAAAAAAATTCTGCCATCTCTATCTACAGTGAAAGGTGGCTGTAATGTTTTCACTTGTAACTACAGGAGTAGTAGGTGGTGAGACCCTAATGTATTCCACTGTGTGATTTTCGTACCCCTGTCTGAAAGTCATAAGAATGTTGAAGTAACAAATATAAATGCACTACTGCTGCCTATCATCCCATTTATTAATTTCCCCCTAACAGTGTGGTGCACCCAAAATGCTAAGGTACAAAATGATGCATACAAAAACTGACCAAGATTTAAACGACACAAAGTTTGAGTTTAAAACAGCAATGTCAGCCATGCATTGCACAATGCTGGTTGATTCAAGTGTTATTTGAGACGTCTCACTAGCATTCAATCACGATGACATTTGTTGGAAACATTCATTATTTTTAGTCACAAGGCCTATATAGCGTTGACAGAGTTCATCCAGGTGACAAACAGGCAACCAACAGATATAAAATATTGTAAGGAACAACTTACAACTTCTGCTTCTTTTTTATCATACGGTTTTTATATGACTTGAAATAATGAAAGTAGACAGTTTTAGATACCTACCAAAAATGCATATGTCTCTGAGGGTGGGGGAATAATTTAAATTCTTCACATTAAAATTTTTAATAACAAGATCCATTCAGAATGTAAAAGACCACACATTTCATGCTCTAATATGCAAAATCATGATAAGTCAAATGACTCTGTTAAAGAAAAAAATCTTTTTTTTTTTTTTCAGAAATATTATGCTAATTATTTTTTGTGACTATTTTACTTCTTCATTAACAGGAAACAGACATTTAATCCTTTTTTTTTTCTTCATGTCCTCCATTTACCTCAGTGAAGTCTTGAGGAAAATATTTAGTATAATACCATTAAAAAAACCTTTTACAAAGTTACTACAGCGCCATTATTTAAAGTATTAGATTATGTATAAGATTATTTTATTTCCCCAGATCTTAGTTCTGGTGTTTTTGAATACTTTTATTAATAGTATTCCTGCCTTCCACTGTCTTTGATCATGGAGCAAATTTTTGCTTTGTTTACCTCTGCCTCTTCTACTGGTGATCTTTTAACTGTCACAATGTTCTCTAATGTCTCTCGTCTTGTTGCATGACCAACAAATACTGATTGTCCCTTTAACAATAATGTTGTACAGTTTTCTATTTTTATTATTTTTTTTAGGTGAGTATTATCAGTTACTGTGGCCGCCACTTTTTTTTTTTTTAAAGCACTGAATACTGGTTCAGTAATGTCCAGGTTTTTTCCCCCTGGAGGTAAGCTGTGGTACACAGTTTTAGCATCACTTTTCTCTAGGCATCAGCCTTTAAGTGCTATACCAGTACCAGCATCTCTGGTGTTTTAGACATGTGAGTACCAGTAGCTCCCAACCCCCCCCCCCCCCCCCCCACACATGATGGGGGGAGGAGAAAAGGAGGGTGGGGGGGGGAGGGGTCTAGCAATGCCACAGCTCTTTATGTTGATGCCACTCCTTCATGTTGCAGTTTAGAATAATATGCAAACACACCTAACAAACCATGCTACAGCATGCCGTGCCATCTCTGTCTTCTGTCCTGCATCACCCAAAGAAACAAAGGCTTTAACCAACTCATGTAAAGCTCTTTGCAAACTTGTTTAAGACTGGTGAGCTTTTGGCTGCTAAAACTGTCTGGATGTGAATTAACCTGCTTCAGTCTGACCTCCCCTGGCCACTTCTTGTAACACGCATGGCAGGTTGCCGAGTGGTTCTTTGTTGCTTCTCTCATTGACCTTGATAACAATCAGAAGACAGCATATCTGCCATAGGGCAGACTACTTTCGGCTTTCTTTTTTCTAATTATGTTTCGCACATTTATGGATGCACTGCACAGCAGTGGAGAGACTTTAACATTGCAGGGAATATGTGTTGAACACATGTGTTGAACAAGGTGTTAAACGTGCACTGCACAGCAAGTTATCCTATGTTAATTTACAAATGTTAGTCATGACAAATACCATTTTTGTAAGTAATGTGTTGTTAATCAGACGGCAGGCAAACCTACAGTGTAATGTCTGTGACAAAATGAAGAACTGGATCAAATGGGTACATAAATGACTTGATAAAAGTGTGCAATTAAAGAAAATGGCTGAATTGTCCTATATGTGTCTTATGAACATACACAGTATACAATCTTCTATAGAAACATTTAGCATTAAAATAATCTCAACAGGATAGCCACAGCTTAATGCTATTTTGTTTTTCTTTCTTGTACATCAGTTTCTCAGGCAATTCTACAGAAACCATAAACTCCTGAACTGTAGAAGATCATCATCATTATTATGTGCCAAGCTGGTAAGTGTAGGCTGTCATGTTTTTTCCATCTCACATGATCACCAAAATCCCGCTTAAGGTCAACATTCTTGTCTCAGCCTATTCAATCTGACCAAGCCATCAAGGTATTTATCTTTTTGCCTTTCTCTTGCTATCTATCCCTCAAACTTACCAGCTGTTACCAAGTTCCTGACTCAATTCCTTCTAATACCATGTCTACACTCACAAAAAACTCATTGTGCTGAACAGGGCTATTGAACATTAGAGAGGTAGGACGATCGGAGCATATTGGGAGCAGCACATCCACATCTTTGCTAAGAGTGCAAGAACTGGGAGGAAAGATCGGCACAGCCAGGCACGAGAAGCACACAAGACACATGAGAAGTCTTCTCAACCAACACAGGACTGGGACTTTTAACCGCAGGATGCTGATGTATATGTTGAAGGGGGAATCTGAGCACCTATGGACATGTCTGGAGTGCCATGAAGATAACCCAACTCATAACTCAGGGCTCAGGGCTATTCAACAAAGTTTACTCAGGAGGCCAAAGTTTTGAAAACCGAGATCGTCTCGGGCCAGAGATCTGTGTCCTAGCACAGAAAGATCATTAACACAGTACAACTGGCAATGATGCAGAGGACATTTGCTGGCCCCTGGCGGCCAGATTCTGGCCCACAAGCCACCAGTTTAATAGCCCTGGTGTGAAAGATCAGTGCTAAGAAGAATCTCATTTTAATAAATGATGTTCAATTGTTGTTGTTTCTCCTACTCTGGTGAACTTGTGTGTTTCTAATATGAATCTGTGATTGTGAATTATTGCTACTACCGCAGTGACTATTAACAAGTTGTAACAATTTAAAATGGTTTAAAATATTTCACAAAATTGTAAAAATACATGGAAAGAATTCAATTTCCATCAAAAGAATATTTAAGTGTCTAGTATATGACTCATTTTCCAGCTGACGGGCAACAATATTACTTAAAGACTGGAAAAATGGATTGTTTATACACCAAACGATGAATTTTAACTAAATTTATGGGGTCTCTCTACAGGTGCTTGAATTTGATGGTGAATGTCATTCTATTGTTATTTTCTCTACTGATGAACCAGGGTGTTTATAAAATAAATTTGTGATTGTGAATAACTGTTACAAACAAAGTGACAGTTAACTATTTGCTAACAGTTTCAAATAATTTAACAAAAATGTGTTTAAAATACATAGAACTTTTTCCATGAGAAGAAAATGTGTGTTTCCAATCTATCACTCATTTTAGGACTGACTGGCACATTGCAGTGTCTTTGATTCAAAGGAACACTGAATGGAAATTAATTTTTTTGTCTAAAACTTCAGAGATATTTAATTAATTAAGCATCTCTAGACTTCTCCTGAATAGGATACATGGAATGTCTCTGGGGGTTTGTGTGGGGTTAATCGGATTTAAGCTCTCAGGGTCATCAGTTTGTTTCAAGACTCTGAGTCAGGTCACTGGTGCAATGTTTATACACATCTCGGAACAGCGTTGCTGGAGCTACAGAATTATGCTTTCTTTGTACAGTAGTCTCCATATTGGCTAAGCACTCTGGAAGCAGGGATCAAGAAAAATTCGACGAAACCCATAGGGATTAAGAAAATTCTCTTGGCTTTCAACTGATTCTATGGAATGTCTCTACAACTTCTTAAATATGGTGATGAAACATGTAACAGAAATAGAAAAGCTCACTGAAATATGAAATAAACGTTTTGTCTGCATATAGTTCTGACTGTGTTGCTAGCAGGTATTCAACTATACTGACAGAAGATTTGGACCTCATTCAACTCGTGATAAAATAACTTATGATAATATAATTATTGTATCATAATGTAAGATACTTGAGTTTATGTAACAAACAATATTAAACAAATTTATAGAGATCAGCAACAAATGAACACATTTTCAGAGGAATAACTGAATAACTGACATAATGTATATGTACATTTCAGCATTGAATGACTGTCTATAATTGTTCCCTGCCATGTCCCAAGTAAGGTATCTATTTTAATGCTGTGAATGATCTCAATTATCCGTTATCACATTTTAGGTCAACTGGATACATGGTGCTACACGCCTATTTGTACAGACCAACCAGCACTCAAGGTGGAAAACAACTTATAGTGTCCTTTTTTTGTGTGACGCAAATGGGGTTTATGGTTCTAGCTCTACATTTTTACAGACCAATCAACATCTGAGGGCCAATATGGCACAAGTTGCTTATTTCTTAGGTCATCTTCCGGTATTTGAAGCTAGCCCAGCCTGGAAATATGACACAATTCTTGCCTCAAGTGGGATTCAAGACAGGATGATTGGGTCAACAGTCAAATGGTGATAAGACTTATGTAATCAAAAAACCCTAACCACATAAAGAAGGTTTCATCCATATGTTGTTAAATAACCGTGAATGGCAAATAAATTGCAATGACATGATAACCCAAACAAACATTGTCCACAAGCGGTGTTAAAACACAATTGTGACCACACATAACGGTATGCTGGAAGTGAACTAAGAATTGTAGACTTAAATATCTGAAAAAAGTATATTCTGTCAAATTCAGGCCTTGAAGTCCAGCAAAGAAGACTACACACTATTGAAATCTCCTTTTGTTTCAGAAAAATGCAATCAACTGACAAAATTAATCAGTAAAAGGTAAAGGTAAAGTCGGGAGAGCACCATAAGTGCTCTGCCACCAGTACAGACAGCTGATAAGAAACTGTCCGCCTGTGTCGCCGTGTAACTCTGTAGCTACAATGACGTTCCTCCATTTACCCCAGAGTGTCAACTCTGGTACCCATTTCCTAGAGGCTGGGTGTATCAGTTAAAACATCAGTGAGAGGGCTCATGTTGAGATGAAAAGATAACAGAACAAATGCTTTTCCAAGCAAACTGTAGTGCATAAATAGGATGTTGGATACATGGAGTCTTTATGGACCTGTGTTTGGAGAAATGATGCCACTGGTAGTGTAAATGAGAAGCAGTATATTTTTTGGGGTGAACAATAATAAAAGAGGGCTTTCTCAACAACTGTGAAGTAGGGAAGTACCATGTCTAATTAATGCATTTCTTAGAAGCCATAATTGACTATTTTTATAACCTGTGACCAGATATTTTTCCCAAATCATGTACCTGTGATCAAGAACCACATAAATGTTACAGCAAATCTATGAACATCATGTAGCAATCAAAATGATTAAAATTTTACTCAACTGTATTATGACTATAAACCAATTATAATCATGTTCAATATTTTCTAGACAGAAGATTGATCAAAGAAACAGAAATGCTTTATAATAAATCACACCCCAAGAAATACTGATACATGATTTACTTCAATAATATTTCATGATACCCAGGGGGCTGGGTGGTCTCAAGGCATGGTGACAGCCTCGAGTGCTGGAGGTTCCAAGTTCAATCCCTGGTAACGGCTGGGATTTTTTCAAATGGACTTCTAGTAATTCCCCCTGGTCTCTGGGTAATGAGATCAGACACTGATCTGTGCTTTGTTGCGCACGTTAAAAAAAAATCCTTTGGCAGTTGGAAATCGAAAAGAGTAGCCTAACAGCGCTGCCAGGGCAAAATATTTGAGTTAAAAATCTACCCAAAGTATTTCAGGATCCTCACTGGTGCTACAGAGCCTGTGCACTGTGCTGAGCTTCTTGGGACTCAGACTTGAGTCAGAAGAAGAACAGAGCACTTATGGGTTACTCCGGTGTGCCATGATGTTGATACCCATTACTGTTCTGTAACATTTCACTTAAAAGAAAGTAAATTTACACATAATTTACCTCGGTCACATTTCATGATACCCATTATTGTTCTGTAAGATTTAACTTTAAAAAAAAAAGTAAACTGACACATAGTTTACCTTGGTCACATTCCATGATTCCCATAAATGTACTGTAACATTTTAGCTTTAAAATAAAAAGAGAGAAATAAACGTTGAATGCTCTCCCACTGTCAGAATTATTCCAGTTTAAAATATAATATGTATGAAGATTTAAAAAACACTTACCTTAGATCCTCTCTCGTTAAAAATTATTTCCACATCCAAAATTGTTCCACACTGCTACAGAAAAAGAAATATTTGTCAACTAAGATTTGGAGAAACTATTTTCACAGAGCGCAATATTTCACTCTAACATCTGCTGACATTACCAGACATATTTCTTACAATAATTAAGTATTTCTTATAATAACTAACATTTCATTACAGATATTTCTCACTTCTTCTTGTTCACCAGATCAAACTCCTACGGACAGTTCTGGTTGTTCGTTTTTTGTGGAATTTAGTTTTGTTCCAGAAACTGAGTTCTCCATGCACACCCTTTTTACAGGTTTGAATGCAGTCTGTTGGTTCCTAGCCTCTCTCTCTGACTTTGAAGGAACCACTCTTAATCATTCCACTTTTCTTACATGTGTGTTGTTTGGGGTGGTTGTTCAGGCTATTCCCCCCCCCCCTTTCCCTTCCACATTTAAGCAGCAGAAAACACACAGAAACACATTTCTTACAATATTATTTCATTTTTTTTAAATAGATATAACAACGATTATTAAAAAAAAAAAACTAATTTATAGAAAATAATTACAAATTATGAAACAAAACAAGGCAAACAGTCCTAAACAGCTAAATACAAATTTAAAAAAAATTATATACTAAAAGTATATACAAACCCCTAGCAACTGTCGCAAATCTGCCTCTCTGAATCTAAATGGGATGTTGGAGATATGTAGTCGTTTTGGGCCCGTGTTTGGAGAGATGGTGCCACTGGTTGGGGGTATCGTGCCTACATCACTCTCGGAAGTCTGAAGTTCAACCTAGAAATTAGTAGAATAAGAGATTATCAACTCATAAATTAAACAAACAAAACGACAAAACATTGATTCTTCAACTATTTGTTAACCACTGCTATGAAGGAACAGACATTATTGTAATCCAGGTAAGGGAACATTTTGCATGCCTTCAGGCATATTAGGTATGGGATGATAAACTCAAGTTTCAAAATGTGTTTGTCTGTGAAAGTTTGTTCTATTGGCAGTTTGTTTGTGGTTGCTGGTATCTTTCGTTTGTTTGTGGTTGCTGGTATCTTTCGTTTGTTTGTGGTTGCTGGTATCTTTCGTTTGTTTGTGGTTGCTGGTATCTTTCGTTTGTTTGTGGTTGCTGGTATCTTTTGTTTGTTTGTGGTTGCTGGTATCTTTCGTTTGTTTGTGGTTGCTGGTATCTTTCGTTTGTTTGTGGTTGCTGGTATCTTTCGTTTGTTTGTGGTTGCTGGTATCTTTCGTTTGTTTGTGCTACAAAGAGGCCTGGATGATAACTCATGACAATGAAAAGTGTGACTAGCAAGACCAACTTGCATTAGGAACAGTCTTCCACAACTGGAGCATATGATTTCCCGACCACTGTTGGCACTGAATGTATTTCATCTATTCACTGTCAGGATGTGTTCTGTTACATGTCTCACAGTGATCAGAGACCACTTCTCCATTCTGTTCAATCCTGGGCAATCACTTCGATAGCACGAATGAAATCCAGTCCAATACCTTTGGCTTCTCTTGTCAATATTCGCCTTGTAGCTATTTAACCTTATATTATTTTATTAGCGCTTCATATGTGATGTGGCCAATATCATTGCAGCCATGTTTACTTTACAAATCATTCCAAAGTACCAATTTTAGACTAAGCCGACCTGAAAGCACAGTCAAATTTCATTTTTTTTAAACCGCGCATCAATGAGGATCTGAACGCATAACTACCAGGCCAAGCTAGTTATCACAGCTCCCACAAACCACACAATTGTAGGCATACTCACAGGTGCCCAGCCATTATTCCCAGTTGGCAACGAGCATTTGCAGTAATGGTTTCTACAGTACACTAATTGTGTAGCAACCTGTGATGCTACAAATATTTTATCTGCAAGTTCTGTACAGGATGTCATTTTCAGCAGTCAAAAATTCCTTCAGTGATTTATAGATCAATACTTAAAAGGAAGGTTTCATGCTATTTTCTGGTGCCCTCTTCTCGACCAGAAGCCATTAAAATAAATCCGTTTTCCTTCACATGTGAATCCTTGTCCTGTGTGTATATAAGTTATTGTACTAAACACAATGCCGGAAAGTCCTGGTCACAAACCAAACATTTAGAACTCACTGATGTAATATGCGCGCACATTTATTGGAAAGTGGGGGGGGGGGGGGGCTAAGCTTAAAAAGGAAGGATATGACATGTATTTTATGTTTAAATTATTACAGATCATAATATTTCATATTTATTTATTATAAGAGAATTTCATCCTGTTTAAACTATAGTTATTTCTATTGGGTGTATACCAAATAGAAAAAAATACCCTGTACAATTGAATGGAAACCAAAATCTATAAACATAATTGTGCAAATCATGAAATGAACACATAACACAAATTAATCTGCAGTCAATCTGTTTGTATCAAATAAGACAGTTTAGAACTGTAAACAAACAAAGAATATTAATATAACTACAACAAAATAATGATCAAATTGAAAGGCACACCCAAGCATTATAAACACAGATGTATTAATACTAGGGTTATTCAATACTTCCATCACAAAATAATAAAGCCGTAAAGTAAAAGAAAAGATTACCAGGAACTCAGCAGTGGGACTTAAGGTGCAGTATAAGCAATAATAATTAAAGCTTCATTCAGCAGGAACAACATTCACCAAAAAAATGTAAATGAAACAGGACATTTGTCTGTGTAGGAATGACACACACACACACAAAAAGGTATATAACCTTGTAAGTTTACGTAGAATCTTGTCAGTATAAACTAGACATTTATTATTATTTTGAGACCTAGAAGAATATGCTTTAAGACAAGTAGCAGATTTTGCATAATAATATTCTACTCAACTATCAGATTTATACTATGGATTTATAATGTCCATATTATTTTCAGTGTAAACCTCTGCTACTTTATTACATTACAGTATATTCTATATGTAGTAACAATTTAATCAACAATATTCTGTTCAACACTTTTGGGTTATATATGGAATAATGTGGAACTTTTTAGTTTACAGAAGTTGCTACATTTAAATACGAGTATTTAAAGTCCAATGTATTTTGAAAATAGATGCTCAGAAAAAAAAAATTTGAAAAGTAGATGACTGCTTTATCTGCAACGACAAAACTGAAAACAGTCTGGACAATACAATGACATTATCCATTTTTATGTGAACATCAAACTTAGCATTGTTTGTTTTTTTAATTATTATTATTCTGTTTAAGTATGAAACCTGGATAAAAGATGATATGCAAAGCTTTAAAAAATAAAATCACAAAACTGCTACACATTTTGAACTGAAAACATTAAACAACTGTCTTTGCTGGAGAATAATCAATACCAAAACAGAGCCAAAAATCATGCTACCTAAAATCACTTGTGGAATATTAAACTTGGTCAGGAAACCTTCTTACAAGTACATTCTAGTGAAATAGTTACAAGCTGGCAGTAAAGCTACAGTGCTAAGCAATCATGGATCTTCTTCTTAAGCATTCGCCTTCAACTTTTTCAGTTTCAAACATCATGTGTTGTGTGATTAACCTATGTGAACCAAATCCAACATGTGATATGTTCTAGTCCTTTTCATAGCTATCACAGCATATTAAGAAAACTTGCTTTCCCCAGTATCCAGTGTCTTTGAAAGCAATACACTTGTAGGTTTTCCAAATTGATTTAAAAAAAAAAAATATATATATATATATATATATATATATATATATATATATATATATATATATATATATATATATATATATATATATATATACACATATGGGTATCTCCAGTGAAACCTTCTGGTACTCAAGGAGTTAAAAAGGCCAGTGGCCCACTGGTTATGGTTTACAGCTAGGCTGTGATCTATGCACCTTTCATCCAAGACATCCGAATTTGGCAAACCTCTAGTTGGTTACCTTACACAATCTGTTTGTTACAAGGACATTATATGCTCAATGCATTACCAGTGGCAGAAAAAATGGTCTTTTACTTGTCTTTACTAATCTGTATTTAACAATTCATCAAATTTAAGGAATAAATAAAATCACAAATACTTCTTTCGCAGTAGTTTTAAAAATCCAAATATCGCAAAGGTATTCTGTTAACACTATTGTAGGAATATGTTAATAAGTTGGCTCTTAAATGCCTAACAATCTGCCAGAGTGGAGCTCAAGTAGCTAGGGAAAAAAATAATCTGCCAGGGAAGTGGGATCAAGCAAAAAAACAAAGCAACAAAAATAAAGAAAAACTATATTAAAATTATGAAAATGCAGAAACCAGACAAATGCAAACCTCAGGCATTGCTTTTAGTTCTCGCATCCAGAGGCTCTTTTGTGCCTCTCTCAGGAACTGAAGAGGAAATATTACATAGATGATGACATCTAAACAGATGCAATGAAACCAATGATAAGACCTGTTCAACTGAATGTATTTTTATTTATTATTTGAAAAAGGGTTGATTTTTGTGTACCGGGGGAAAAACACTACTCCATCTTTTTCGTACTCAATTGAACAAGACCAGACACTATTAGAGAGGAGTAGCTGGCCGAACAGGTTATAACACTGGGGTCTCAAGCGGGAAACCTGTGTTAAAATCCTTGGTTAGGCTGGGGATTTTTTCTGTCAGGGGCAAAATAAATCCTCACTTGCAGGCGTGGCTACAGCACTAGCCATGCGACCGCAAGTCCTCAGGCTCAAAGATCTCCCTGCCTGCACCGCAAAAGTGGTAAAAAATACAGGCAGTAATTGGCAAACACTATTTGAATACTGTAAAATATAAACAGCAAACTGAATGCAGAATACAGCTATTATTTAACTCTTAATCTTATTACTTATTAATTATTCAAAGGTCATGTGTTCAGGTCCTGATGGAGTCAGACTTTTTTTTTATTTGACCTTCGCTACTAGGTTGACCCAGCCTTAAATGGGTACCAGGTAAAGTCCTAGGAAGTAAAAGTCACATCACCTAATGACTGGGCTATAAAAAATAGGTTTAACCTTGGACGCCGAATATGCCTAAAATTCACATGTTTTCCATATCAACATCCCAGCACATCTATCTGACCCATTCATAAACCTGTCGTTACTGCCTGTATGTACCACTTTTTTTTTTTTTAGTGTGATGTCGAACAGAGGTGGCCTTCAGCCTGAGGATTTAGGGATAGTGTGGCTAGTGCAGTCACCTTGGAGTGTGCTGGTAAGAAGGTTTACTTCTGCCCCAGACAGAATAACCTCCCATCACCTTACCGAATATTCAAAACTGATCTTCTACATGAGATCCCCATGTTCTAACCATTCAGCCAACTGCTCCTCAATAGCATATATCTTGTCTACTCTGTGTTCAGTGGCTGTAAACTAAAGTGAAAAGTTCCAGTTGTTCCTCCATTTCTGGGACTTTGGTCTTCTTCAAGGGTTTTGTGTGCAAACATCCTTTTACACATCTGCAGACTGTTGGTTCCACGCGTCTCAGTCAGATGCCCACCAGCTTAGAGGGAAACAACCCTTGGCTCTTTCAACATGTTTATCACAGGGGCATTGGGATATTTATTCTCTTTCCCAATAAAAAAAGGTGCCTGAATCCACATGGGGATGTCTGAGAGGTAAAGAGTCGAGACATTTATCTATAAAGGGTCTTCTCAGACATGACTTCACCCATGTGTTTTATTCTTTGAGTAAGTGGGTTTAAAGAAAAAAAAAATATTATTACTTTATTCTTTACATGCTCACTGGTTTACATTTAAACTGATGATGAATTAATGCAGTTTAATCCCACTCTACTTCAAATGTCACCTCTTACTGCATTACTTTCATAAACAACTGAAAACTATTATAAACACAAACGAATACAAAACACCCCCCCCCCCCCTCCAACAAATGATTTATTTCGGATCAATGAAACATCTATTCCTTATAGCTGTTAAACTGTAACCCAAATATGCCTGTGATATTTAAATGGTTTTATTGAAATAATATAAAGAAACAGACATTCATTATATAAATGTTACCCCACCCCTTCCCCCTCCCCAACAACAAAAAATATATATACAAACTATTAAGATTGCATTTTACAGGCAAACATGAGTAAAAGAATAGCTAGGACATGCAACTTTTGTAGTGCAGATTCAACTTTACTCTAACGGGGTTGCCCCATAATTGCTCCAGCTGCTGTGCTAGTAGAAATCACGTGATATGCCCTTCACTGTCCCATGTGAAAACTAGAGATCAAACAATCAGCCCTGGCAAAATTTACAAACATGCACATGCAGTAAATGCGTAAGACAGTTGCTAGATGTGCCAACACCAATAGTTTCCACCAGAATTGCAACCTGTTGTAGTCAGTCAAGTCAAGACAAGCTGGCAATAATAATTAATGCATAGGGCACTTGCAAAGATCAAAAGTAAACAAGCAATTTCGAATGTCCTGGATGCCATGACAGGAACCATTGTTGGCACTGACAAAAGGCATTCCCCATTAAATAAAAACACAGCTTAATGTTGCACCAAGCACTTAACTTGGCAGTTTAGGCAACAACAGCATATTATGTATGGGGAAACAATACAATGAACTCTTTATGAAGTAAGGTAAAGAACATTCCATGCCATGAGGTGTAATGGGTATATAGTGCTCGCTCCATATTCTGACAGCCAATCAGCACTTGGCGAGTGATTTAGTCAATATAGTGCTGGTGACCTTTACTTCCTGGAAAATTCACAAATACAGATTAGGCTAGGTTATCTTTGAAGCTAATGTAAAAACTGTCCAATTGAAGATCACTTAAATGAAACTCTTGGCCAATGGACAGACAGATAAGCCTTAAAATATCATGTTTTCAAAATCTATTTTATACATATATAGTGCAAACAAATTTTAATGACAACATGTTACTCCTGCCTCCAAAACTGACGGATTAGATACAATCTTCATAAAGACATGCATATATAAAACAATTCATAAATCAAATAAGAGTGCCTGGGAAAATAGATCAATAAACAGCTAGCATAAAGCTAATAGTCTTAAAATATTATACTTGTGTGCAGGAGGCACAAGATAAGAGACATGCAAAGTGAGCTTTAACTGCTACAGACAGGTAATTTTAGAAATAAATATCTGGTGAGGGACAGAATCCGAGGCAGACAGACAAACTGTTAGAGACTGAGGTCGGAAAGTCTACGGAAATATTGATGTTTCCACAAACAAATGTGCAGGATGTTTCAATGTAACAAAACCATCCCCTTGGCTGGGAAGAATCATCATCATCTTCATGTCATAATTCTGCATCGGGTCCTTTAGAGAACATTGCTCCAATCACAGATGTCAGAAATAAACACAGTCCCTGGCCAGATCTCCTGCCTCATGTAGCTGCCTGCCTGAGGTGTCTCTTATGTCCTGTGTCCATCTTTGTGCTGGTCGGCCCCTGCCTCTTTCACCTGATCCCATGCCCTACACCTTGTCCTTCCTAATCCACTGTGGTGCTTGATATGACCAAAGTTTTTGATATTTCAAGACAAAATGCTCGTTACGAGCCAACTTTCTTTCATGTTTAGATCTTTTAGGATGGCTCATGTGCATTGTCAATAAGCATCGACAGTCATGGACTAACATTTTCACACTATTACCAAAACTTTGGATCAGATCTGTGTTCTTAACTCACTAATGCCAGGTGGCTAAGCCACAAGCTCTTCTAACTGTCACAAAGTTTTTAAGTTTATTTCTCTTCCTACACCCACCCCCCCCCCCCCCTTCCCCAATAATCATTTACTGTCTACATATAATTTCTCTAATCAGTTTTGGGATCCTGAATCAGTTGTTTCAATCCTGCACAACTGATAGACAAGCCAAAGAATGTGTTTGAAACCTCAGATATGTGGTCTGCCAGAAGAATGCTTAAAACTCTTAATGTTCTGAAAGGGGTGAGGGTCCCAAAACAACTAATTAAAAACATCAGAAGTAGACAGTCATAATTTTGTGGCCATATTATGAGAAGAGGAAAACTGGCACACACTGTTACTTCTGGAAATATCTGTGAACAGTAAAACAGGAAAAGATAACAAGAGGAGACTGCTGACAGGCTTTTGTTATGGAATACAGTTGTCAACACATGAACTGGTACATGCCGTTAGAGATCCAAGATTGTGGAGAGGCATGACTGCCCATTCCATTTGGCCAGGCCCTTGATGATGATGATGAATCAATTTAGTTTTCATCTGTTCCTTAAAGCACAGGTTTAACAACAACATAGAGGCCATGACCTAGTATGAAAGGACTGCCCTTATTCTCCTTTGGGGCAATTTAAACAATGATATCCTGTTCAAATCATGCAGGTTTATATGAATAATGAATATTCTAGAATAAACTTCACTGCACAGCATTTTATCTCAACTGGCTCAGTCTCTCTCGCCATAGCAGCCCCCTGTCTGTTGTTAAGTCTCAAACACTGGATGAATGGAAGCTTTAGTGGTGAGACTCAGGAATCTGGCCGGGTGTGAGGCAAATGGCTTGATCACATCTCCAAGGAGGCCAGCATATCAAAGATCTTATTTATATCTAGTGTGCATTTTACGCAGAGGTCACTCTTTACATCTAGGACACTATGATACTCTTTACACTAGTTGAAAAACATGCAGATGTTACAAACAATTACTACAAATGTTACCACATCAAAAAACATTCACATTAAAATACCTAACACCAAAATAAAACAAGATTGCACATTCAGACACCATCAAAGATGTAAACATATTTTGTAATAAAATAATGAAAATTAAGAACTGGCAAAAATCAACAGAGGAAAACCATACACACACAACAAACTTTTAAGTTTATTAATAACTATACACAGATATGTCCTAAGCTATGTGATTTGCAAATGTTATGCTCATCAACCTATGGGGCATATTTGATTGTACATATTACAAAAACAATATGCAAACTTGATAAAAATCAAGACACCATACACTTAAAAATTGGTGTGAGCTAGTCCTCTGTATTCACCACCCCAAAATGATGAACTCACATTTCTTCTTCATCTTCCTGATACTTTAGCTGTATAACCCCTCCGTATGTACTATGAAAGACAGTTTTTTTAGTAATCAAGTCCAAGTCATTCAATAAACAGCATCTCTGATAATGGTCTCTAGTCACTGCTGTTTGGAATATAATGTGTTCAAACATGGACGATGGTATGAACAGGTAGAAAAGGACTGGAATCCATACCGGTTTTCAGGTATATGCCTTACTTCTTAATACTGAAATACACACACTTCACATACTCTGTCACAAAAGCCCCATAAACTAAAGCAATCACACAATATATTTTGTTGTTAAAAATATGTTCTTCTTCTTCTTCTTAACATTCACCAGCTGTAAACTCTGTAAAGTTCTGGTTGTTCACCCGCCTCTGGACTTTGAGACTTGTTCCATTAGAGATCTGACTTATCTGTTTGCAAATTGTTAATTCTTTGCCTCTCAGGTAGATGCACTCCGACTTTGAAGGAAACCCACAAATCAATCCACTCTTACAACATGCTTGTTGAGGAGGCAGTGGGTCAATTCTTGTTTTCCCCACAATGGGGCTCCGGAATCATCACGGGGAAGAATGTGTTTATATTTAGCCCTTCTAAAGTAATATAACTTGTGTTTGCCCTGTTATTGTTATTTATGCATTGTTATTTACCCCATTGGCAGCTGCTCTGGACATCTTGGATTATTCTAGTTAAGAACACAGATTATTTCTCCAGATTTTGACATGCATTCCATTATAACATATTGGGAATAAGGTGCTAGATTTTTGCTTTATGGGTTATCATTTTTGACCGGGTTCAATTCTTTTTTCAAACACTAACATACCAAAAACCAACAGCTTAATCTCAAGCAGTGTATGTGCTGTGCTGAATCATAACAGTGGAACCTGGGAGTTTAGCACCTTGGGAACCCCAAAATCTGTGAGCTCAGGCCCCCCCCCCCCCCCCCCCCCCCCCAAAAAAAAAATTATAAATAAAAGGGTTATGCTTTTTAAGTTGTTTTGTTTATATGCATCATATTATTTAAAATATATTTTTTGTCATTTGGCACATTATTATTTTTATTTTCAAGCACTTAAAAGTCCCTCAACCCAGGGGTCATGGCTCATTATAAAGGCGTGAATGGTTTTCTGTGCGGTCAATGGACAGTGGTGAGCAGTGTTGAGCCTTGCAAATTTAAAAACAGTTTTTTAAAATTGCATGTCCTACATCTATTGTCATCCTACACTTACCGTCGGCGTGTTTTTATTTACCCTATTGAAAATCAATTTTTAATGTATGAGACTGCGGGTCACTTTGCCTCTAAAAAATGGGGTCGCAACATGCAAAAAGTTGGCAACCACTGCCCTATGTGCCAAATGGCAGTCAGTAAAACTGTTACTTTTGTAACACCTCCAGCAATGTGCACATTACTGATACTGACAGCATAAATTCACTATAGTATATGTAATAACTAAAAAAAATAAAAACAAAACTCATGCAACTATAAACAGAAAAACAGCATTTTGACTGGCTTTTATATATACAGAGAGAGAGGGGGTAAGGGGGGGGGGGGGAGAGAGAGAGAGAGGGAGAGAGGGAGAGAGAGAGAGAGAGAGAGAGAGAGAGAGAGAGAGAGAGAGAGAGAGAGAGAGAGAGAGAGAGAGAGAGAGAGAGAGAGAGAGAGAGAAGAACTTCAAACAAACAAAAATTAAAAAACTTTTAAGGGAACAAATTTAAGAATGATTCTAAATTCCTTAAGCATTTATTAACTCAAAAATTTTTCATTTAATTATTGTATTTTATTTATTCTAAGTGTTAGGGAGAAAGAGAAACAAAATGCAATTTCATACTAATATTTTCTAAGATAAACAGTACAGTAAATTCTTAGCACTCTAATATGCAGATTACATGCAAAAGATGAAAAGACATTTAAACTGTATTTTAGATGATAAACAGCACTGATTTTTTTGGCAGAATAACTGGCCTTTTTATATTAAGATAGGGCAAACGCTTAAATGGAAAACAAAAAAAAAATGTCACAAGAAATGTAAATTAAAGAACTGTGAATTTCTTTAGCAATCCCTAGAAAATTTATAATTTAATCCATTCTTAACATCAGAAAGAGAAACAAGAGAAAGTAAATGCAATTTTATACTGTAATGGTACTGAATTCTTAGTAGACTATGACAATATTCAGATTGCATACAAAAGATACTTATGGCAATAATCTAGAAGACAAACGACAAACGATGCAATGACACTTAAACTCAGAGAATCTAGAGGACAAGTAAAATGCATCATTAAACATGATACAGTAACATGAGACCCACTTACCGCTTGTTGCTCTGCTGCGCCATTTGATGTGACGGGGGTAGTGGTGTAGATGGTCTGGCCACCTGGCTCTGAAGAAATGGTTGGAACTGCTACACCCAGACTCTGGATGCTGGCAAGATTGGCAGCTGCGGCTGAACTAGCCGCCTGGTTGGCAACAGCTTGGTGATACTCCTCTAGAGTGGTGGCTTGAGAGTATGTGTATGTTGGCGTCATCTGGTTCTGAACCATATGCTAGGAAACAAAAACAAAGGACTGTGTCAAGAACTGACTGGTTTTGATAATCACAAGATGTGATATGTTGGGTGTGTGGTTAGAAACAGAATTCTTGCATGCTATACAGAACTAATTTTAACATGGGTTTGTGAATCCTGAAGGTGCTTGTGGCTTTGGCATTGAGAAATTACTTAATAATTCTGAGATGCTGATTGATTTCCAGCTACGTGCAATCTGGCAGAGACTGCTCTGTGTTGGTTTCAATAATGATATGGATAGCCATCCGGTATGGAAAGCAATGGCACAATACTGAAAGTAAAACTGCCCGGTAAATACCAAAGAGCCTGAGGTTAATTTCACACAAAGGATATGCAACTAACTTTGTGGATCACGGACAATTAGTAAACAAACAAATAAACAAATCTTGGAGACCTCGGAGATATGTTTCACAAACGAATGCTTAGAATTCCGTGGACATCAAAATGAAAAATTAAATATTTTTTGGGTGTAAAGTGACTAAGGGCCAAATACAATTTACAGCAAACGTCACAGAGAGGCAGCCATCTTATTTTGGCCATATTAAAGAAGAGATAAACTGAAACATAACAACTGGACACATTTATGGAAAAAGAAATCGAGGAAGATAATAAGAGGTGCGTATTTGACAGTCTTAAGTCACAACATGGAGGTGTGGCAGGACATGAACTGTAATGTGTAAAAACAAACACAAACAAGAGCCAACAAGTGAATAAAAATTATAAGAAAGAAGGGAAAATGCAAGGGAGAAGAGCAGAGAAGAGAAGAGAAAGGCAGAGTAGGAGGAAGGAGGGGAAGGAAAGAAGGGGGAACTTTGAGAAGAATAAAGCCAAATGTGCCAAGGATAAAAGCCAGAGTGGCAGTAATTATCTGAAATCAATGCACAATGTTGTTGCAGACTTTTTTTTTTCTGGGGAGAATAGAAAACAAGGACTTACAGAAATTTGAGTCTTAAAAAAAGGGTAAGTGAGGAGAAAACATCATGTCAACTAGCAACATAAGAATGGTAAAAGGGGTTATATAAACTGTCAAAATCCCACTAGGGACCACAACAGAAACTAGCCTGCTGCAGAAGTGAACAGAAAAGGAATAAAACTAAAAGAAGTGTCACTCCTAATGAGGCATATTCGTTCAATAATGTAACAAAGAAATCAATTGTAGAGAGTAAGAGAGAGGGTAGACAGAGTGCACAGAGATACTGAAATGAAGAGAGAGAGAGAGAGAGAGAGAGAGAGAGAGAGAGAGAAGAGAGAGAGAAAGAGAGAAGAGAGAGAGAAGAGAGAGAGAGAGAGAAGAGAGAGAGAGAAGAGAGAAGAGAGAGAGAGAGAGAAGAGAGAAGAGAGAGAGAGAGAGAGAGAGAGAGAGAGAGAGAGAGAGTAAATGTTGGCTCTGTATAGACGGTATCATATAGTTGACACATCAAAATATGCAATTTCTTCTAATTTCTTCTAATGTTTATTTTAAAATATCATCCTCCTCCTCCTGATCATCTTTTAGTCAGTGGATATTCCACCCTTTGTCCATACAGCTAAGTTTTCCACTCTTCTCTGTGCCGGGCTCAAAGTTGCAAGAACTTGTTATTTCACTGGAAAGAAAGGTTAGAGGAAGCAGCAGCAGAGGATAATGAAGAAGGGAATGAGGGAGAGGATGAAGGGAAAAAATGGGGGCTGGGGGATGCAGACAAGAACAAGAACAGTTTTTTCTTCTTCTTCTTCTCTTCTTTACTTCTGGAATGCCTCGCAGCGTCAGTGGAGGAAGAGATCTCTAGAACGAGCCCTTCTATTTACTTCGTATGTAGTACTTTTCAGTGTCTCTGACATTTCTGCGGTCCATATTCTGCGTGGTCAACCTCTGGGTCTGTTACCACTGTATTTGTATAAGACTCTCTGTGGTGCCCTGTCTGCCGCCAATAGTGTTACATGACCAAACCATTTGATTTATTGTCTACCTATAATGTTCAGTATTGGTTCTGTGCCGATTCTCTTTTTGGTACCGTTTTTTTTAAAGGGGGGGGGGGGGGGGGGTGTGTGTGTGTGGAGAATAAGACAATGCAGGAGGAGGAGAATATGATAAAGTTGAGTAATAGAACTAAACTTCCTGTGTGGGTTCCAGGGTCTCATTATGTGGAAAACAAGATCAGTTCCACTGCATGCTGTAAGAGTCGACTAATTAGGGGCATCCTTCAAAGTCAGAGTGCATCTGCCTGAGAGGAAATAAACCAACAGTCTGCATATAAATAATCCCGATCCGTAAAATGGATGTGAATGCAGTACTCAAGTTCTATGACAAAATTAAAGTCCAGAAGTGGACGAACAACCGAACAACCAAAACTTTCCGTCGGAGTTTACAGCATTGAAGGCGAAGAAGAAAATTAAGTAGAAGAAGAACTTAACAGGCGAATATTAGAAAATGACAAGTCAGGCGTTGTGGAATTGTTTTCACTCAACTGTTCGCTTTCATCGTTTTACGGTTTAGATCAACCGGGGTTTCAAGAAACTTCCTCTTTGTCAAACTTTACAGAGAAAAAAAGAGAGAACTGTCTCCTGGCCACACACTATTATTAAACAAGGACAAGCTGGCATAAACTGGAAACTCAGGCTTGCCCATGTTTTGTGTCTGATGGCGACAGGGATCCGAAATGGAAAATTCATGTTACAATCCTCAGGTAACATTAGGCAGCTTCATTTCCTGGCCTCAATATTAATTTATGCAGGGATATTATTCATGCAGGGCGGACAGAACTTTCGCCCATTGCTACTACGAATCACATAAATCAAACAGTTCGAATGTCTTGAGGTCAAATCTGCATCAATTCGGATTCATTTTTCCAAAGGGCAAAAGTTATGATGGAAAGTAAAGTAAAGCAGGCGCTGACCACAACATCCACTGAATGCCTATCGGTCAACGAAAATAGAGTCTAGGATTATACGGCTGATACGCTATCGTCGTTAAAGTAACCCATTACTATACTGATCTCTCTCTCTCTCTCTCTCTCTCTCTCTCTCTCTCTCTCTCTCTCTCTCTCTCTCTCTCTCTCGTGCGCGTGTGATTTGTTTTATTGCGGACTCTGTGTATATGTGTGTGTGTGTGTGTGTCAGAGAGAGAGAGAGAGAGAGAGAGAGAGAGAGAGACGGAAAGGAAACGTGTATCGCTCACGGACTGAGAACTGCAGACATATTACTAGGGACATTCCATACACGCTCAGTCCCCACCTTCAGCAGTCAGCGTAGAGTTTCAATACTAATGGGACCAGCTATCGGCTGATTCTATTTTCATTTTGCCTTTCCTCTGAGCGTTCAGTATTTGCAAGATTCTCTAGTAACTCCAATGCTTACGGTGGTCTATACTTACACAGTAATCACGTATTAACTTTTTATATCTCATTGAATAATTAGACTAACAACCTTGCCATCGTTGTTGGTTTTTACCCCTTATGTCTCACAGCGTTATTTTTTTTTTTTTTTATTCCTAGAGCGCAAAACCTTAGTACTTGAAGTAGTAATCTCTTTTTTTTTTTTTTTTAGGGTTCTTCTTGTTCTTGGGACACAGAGAAAATGTGTTACCTAGATCTAAAAAAAAAAGATTACCCCCAATTAATCAATAACAGCACGTTTTCTTTATGGATGGGTGTTTGGGGTGGGAAGGGTGGAGGGTATATACCGATAACAAAGGAGAAAGCATGGACAGAAAAACCATTCCGTGAAAATATCGCATTTTCCCTCTGATAGTTATTCACTAAACAAATCATGTGCAAATATCACGTTTGTGAACATGTTTAGTAAACTGGTAGTCCACGATTTAAACCCAGTTATAAATAAAATAGAGTATCGGAGCTTCAGAAACTCTGCAGTCATCATAGCAATAGGCGTGAGGCAGGAACATGTTCCATTAACTTCTTTAAAGTTTGACCGGGGCTTCTGGAATTTACCTGGTTCCTTATTGGCTTGCCATCAATGACTGATTATTTAAATCTCGGGTTGGTCACAAACCTTCAGATACGACGTAAGAACTTTTATTTTTAAATAGTTAAGAACTGGGTAAGCATATCTGAACTAGTTCTCTGGTCTCCTTTTGGTGGTCAATAGACTAGACACAGTGCCCCCCTAACAAGAATGTTATACAATAAGGGGTGTTTCCTTCGAAGTCAATGTGTATCTGAGAGGCGAGGAACCAACAATGCGTATACAAGTAAGCTAGAATTATAAAACAGGTGTGCATGCAAAACTCACGTTCTGGAGCAAGACAGAAGTGGAAGAACAACCAGGATTTTCAGCCGGTGAATGCAAGAAGAAGAAGAAGGAGAAGAAGAAGAAGAAGAAGAAGAAGAAGAAGAAGAAGAAGAAGAAGAAGAAGAAGAAGAAGAAGAAGAAGAAGAAGAAGGAGAAAGGAGAAGAAGAAGAAGAAGAAGAAGAAGAAGAAGAAGAAGAAGAAGAAGAAGAAGAAGAAGAAGAAGAAGAAGAAGAAGAAGAAGAAGAAGAAGAAGAAGAAGAAGAAGAAGAAGAAGAAGAAGGAAGAGGAGGAGGAAAAGGTGGAGAAAGAAGTGGAGGAGGAAAAAGTGGAGAAAGAAGTGGAGGAGGAAGAGGAGGTGGTGATAGAGGAGGAGCTGGTAGCAGCACAGACTGAAACCACAAAAGAAAGAAAGAAGGTCCAGAAGTGAAACCCAAGAAATGTTTGAAACACATCAGGAAGAGCTCTCACACACACAAACACGCTGTTTATACGTGATAGAGATCGTGCTAACGTACACACAGAACAAATAACAAAGCAAAAAGAGAAATCACAAGACATTTCAAATCAATACACACGAGCTAATTCATTCACTGGTACTAGCATAATTAGGCATGGTTTAATATAATAGTGAACCAACAAACGGCATTGTAAAAGCACGTACGGCAAGAATTAAGTGCAATTTTCGGCGTGTTAAAAGTGAGAGGAAATAACTGGTTTGATTAAAGAGAACTGTAATTATCACTGCAGGATTC